CCTTGTCCCCCCCGGCAGACCCCCGTCCCCCCCGGGGAGAAAAGCCACTCTGCATCTCCCTGGTCTGCTGGGGGGGGGACGCTAGCTCCGCGTCTCCCTGGTCTGCTGGGAGGAAGCGCCCCCCGCGCTGCCGGAGGCGGCGACAGTGGGGGAGGCACCCCGCACTAGCTGCGCTCCCTCTCTCCCCCATTCGTAACTAGGGGTCCAACTTAAGTCGGATTGACGTAACCCGGGGACTGCCTGTACTTTGCATTTATCCTTACTGAATTTCATCCTGTTAACTTCAGACAATTTCTCCAGTTTGTCCAGATCATTTTGAATTTTAATCCTATCCTCCAAAACACTTGCAACCCCTCCCAGCTTGGTATCCTCTGCAAATTTTATAAGCTTACTTTCTATGCCATTACCTAAATCATTAAGGGTACGTCTACACTAGCTAGAGCTAGGTAGGGTAATCAGGGCAAGTGGAGTTGCAAATGAAGCCAGATTTAAATATCCCGGGCTTCATATGCATGTTCCCGGGCGCTGGACATTCCACAAGGAGTAATGGTAGTTCGAATTGGGATCTTTAATTCGAACTACTTACTCCATGCCGCGTGTAGCCGCAGGCACCGAGTTCAGACTAAGGGGGATTTAAAAATGGCAGCGCCCGGGAACATGCAAATGAAGCCCGAGATATTTAAATCCCAGGCTTCATTTGCAACTCCGCTTGCCCTAATTATCCTGCCTTGCTCAAATTAACGAGCTAGTATAGACATACCCTAAGATATTGAACAGAATGGACATAGAACTGATCCTTGAGGGACCCCATGCATTATGCCAGTGGTCCCCAACACGGTGTCATGGCGCCCGCGGGGGCACTTGTCTGCGCCCGCCAAGTGCTCAGGGCTGGTCTGGCCCCGGGCACGTGATGCATGCGTGGTGCCGAAGCCGGCCCCGGGCGCACGGTGATAGACATACCCTAAGATATTGAACAGAATGGACATAGAACTGATCCTTGAGGGACCCCATGCATTATGCCAGTGGTCCCCAACACGGTGTCATGGCGCCCGCGGGGGCACTTGTCTGCGCCCGCCAAGTGCTCAGGGCTGGTCTGGCCCCGGGCACGTGATGCATGCGTGGTGCCGAAGCCGGCCCCGGGCGCACGGTGAGCGCCAGCCCTCGGGGCGCCGCGGATTGACCGCCCACGCTCTGGGCACGCGGCGCATGGGGGGAGCGCAGGCCCTGGGCACGCGGTGCTTGGGGGGGGGAGCACCAGCGCCAGCCCCAGGCGCGCAGCGCTTGCAGGATGAGCCAGGTGCGCAGCACTTCGAGAGCGCTGGCCCCGGGCGCGCGGCGCTTGAGGGGAGAGCGCCGGCCCCGGGAATGCGGCTATGGGGGGCCCCGCCCCTGGGTGTGCAAGGTGGGGCCCCACCCCCTGGTGCCCGGCAACCCCAAATGGTTGGGGACCACTGCATGATGCCCTTCTAGCATAAGTGTGAACCCTGATTTGCACGCACCTTATAGTAGTTCCATCTAGATTGCATTTCCCTAGTTAATGAGAGGGTCATGCGAGACAGTACCAAATGCTTTACTGAAGACAAAGATATACCAAGTCTACCACTCTCCTCCCTACATTCACAAGGCTTGTTACCCTATCACAAAAACTATCAGGTTGGTTTGATATTTTTTCACCTTGACAAATCTCTGCCATTACATATCAACTTATTATCTTCTAGATCTTTGCAAACTGATTGCTTAATTATTTGCTCCATTGTCTGACAAAAGTTACAGAAGTTAAGCTGACTGGTCTATAATTCTTTAGCCTTATTTCCCTTTTTATAGATTAGTACTATATTTGCACTTTTCCAGTCCTCTGGAATTTCTCATGTAGTCCATAACTTCAAAGCTTCAGAATTACTAATCCAGGCGTTGGCATCAAAACAATGTAGTACAAATGTGTAAGTGCAGTAGTAAACATATTAAATGTAAATAAATTATTTTTAAAAGAAAATTCAAGCTTTTACCTGATCTTCACTAGTTAGGCCAATGTGCATCACGAGGTAAAAATGCACTAGAAAATCAGAATTTGGCAAAACATCTTGGCGCCTAGTCATCATAGCACAGATCAACCTGTATGCTTGAAGCTTGCCTTCTTTATATTCATTTGGCAAGCTTGTTGCCTGAAAGAAGTACAGAAGTTTTATTAACAGATCTCTTTAGTTACTAAATCATTCAAATCTGTATCTCCAGCAAGGTATATTTATAACTTATAGCAACCAATTTATATATATGTGCCAACAAATGTCTTGGATACTGAAGAGTTATTCTAGGCTGGGGTGGGTAATAATTTTTGATGGGAGGGGGGCATTCCAAAGTTTTGGTAAGTGGTCAGAGGCTGCACTTTTCAATTATATTAATGGAGACAGTGCGAGATCTGGGATGAAGGATAGGGGAAGAAGGGGTTGTGAGTGACTAGGGATGTTAGCAAAGGTGGTTTTTGGTAAGCATGTAACTGCCAAATTTTTCATCGGTTCCATGTTTACATGTAGGGGGGGCAGGTGGGAGCCGGTGCTCACAGGGAGTTGGCTTTTAAGCCAGCTCCCTGTGATCTCTGGCTCCTACCTGCTCCCACCCCCACTGTCTTGATACAGAGGTAGCAGCATGGAGCTGGGGAGCAGGCAGCTCTGTGGGAACCTGTACGCACAGGGAGCCAGCTTGAAAGCCAGCTTCCCCCATGTACTGACTCCCGCTGGCCCTTCTGCTCCCAACCCCGCATTGCTGCTTCTCTGTCAGAGACAGCAATGTAGAAGGCAGGCAGCTTCATGGGAGCTGGTACACATAGGGAGTTGGCTTTAATCCAGCTTCCCCAAGAACCAGCTCCCACCTGCCCCCTCCCCCTGCACAATGCTGCCTCTGTGAGAGGCAGTGGGAGGAGGAGAGGTGGCTCTGCAGGAGCCAGCACACATAGGGAGCTAACTCCTGCCTTCCCATCCTTTGGAGGAGGGTGAAAGTAGTCATTAGGATTAACTGATGAGCCCATGCTTGTCGGTTAACCGGGTAAATGACTACGTGCTAACGTTCCTAGTTGTGACCAGGAGCAGGAGAGAAAAAAATTAGATCCCAGTAAGCTGCGCAGTTGCATGGCCGCACAGCTGTTTAATGAGTCCCACCCAGAGACTCAGAGCTCACAGGCAGGGAGCTCAGCTGACTGGTTGGGGAAGTGGCCGTCCGACACTGAGTAGCTTCAAACATAGCTGCCTGCTTGAAATGGAGGAGCTCAGAGAGCAGTTAGGGAGGGGAAATAAGGAGGGAAGAAATAACTGGCTGGCCAAAGAGTTGTGGGATTGGAGAGTTTGGAGAGAAGAGAAAAAAGGG